CCCAAAGGAGGGGGTAATGTTACCCGCGTCCGTGATTATCCTTAAGTCACACGTGCCCCCTGGGTGGTGCTAAATGGGTAACTGCCACAAAGTCCTGTGGCATACCGGGGTTTAGTGGGATGAGGTTCGGTCTGATGATGAATAATCTTATGACGACCCAACGGACCGCTCCTCCCTGGGAAAACCGGCGATTGTGGGGAGGATTTGAAATTCCGAGGACCTTTGATCCAGAGAGGAGGGGTCTTGGAGGAAGCAGCCATGTAGAGGATACAGGAGAAAAGCCGAGTTTTGCGTCTCGGCCGCCATATAGTACAGGAGCCCGGGCCAGCCTAACCAGCATGTCCTCGCTGCTCTATCAGCTGGTGTATATTCTCGCCTGCCTTGTAGTTCCAGGTGGTGCCTGGGTGGGGTCCTGCATGGCAGAGCGGGGGGGGGGCTCTTCCGAGGTCACTGCTCATCAGACCACTGACTGCACTGAATCTGGGGCTAGCCGCTCCAAACTGGCTCTTAGAAAATCGGAAGGAATTTTTCTCCCCCTTTTTTCAATCAAATACCAAAATGGATGTTAGCAATATAGAATCAGATAAAAACGCATCCTCTGAAACCCCCACTTTAACCACTGTAGCTCCTAAGGGAGTGAATGCGCCCTTGGGTGCGGACGCTTTTCTCTTCAGGACTACAGAAACCAGAACCGCTGGTTAAGGGGTGAATGTGCCTTCGGACACGGACGCCTTGAACCCAGTGGGAATGGATACTGACTCCTCTGTCAGAAGTGCTGTGCCAGATGCGCACGCGGATGACGTCACCAATGACAGAGGTTGTAAATAAAAATAAGAGAAAAGAGACAACGCCAGAAGGAGCGGAAACGGCTGGAGAGGGCCATGGAAGGGATCTCGATCTCTGGGGAGAAGGGAGCGAGAGAGAAAACAGATAAAGCTGGGGCCTCTGGAGCGACCTCCAAACTGGTGAGGAAGAGCCATCCAAGCAATCAAGAGTCTCATAAGAGAGAACGGATTGCTGGTGACACCCTAGAAATGGCCCTCAAGAAACGACGGCTTTATAGTCAGGCTGTGAGGAAGGCAATTACTCTGCGGGTCGTCTGCAAGTATGACTCCAGAGACATAACATCGGCGGATTCGGACTTCATCACTTCTATAATTGATGACCGAATTATCGACGGCTCCATCACCACCTGCAGAGTCCACAAGACAGTCCTGCTGGCCTCAACATTGCATGTGAGGACCAGGAGACTGTGGACATCCTAAAGACTTTAATCAATGATCTACCTGGCCCTGAAGAAAACCATCCCGGTTATCACGCCATGGCTCCCGGGGACAGACCCCCCATGAAGAGGTTTTTCGCTTGGTTTCCTGGTAACAGGTCATCAAAAGATAACATCAAGCTCCTTGATGCCTGTAACAAGGGCCTGGATGTTAAGAAGATCGCCATCAAGGCAGTTATCCCTGGAGACGGAGGTAACACTCTGGTCCTGGGAGAGGAACCTGAGCTCATGGGTTATCTGGAGGCCCAGAATTTCAAACTTTTTTGTGGTGCCCGTGGCTCTGTACAGCTGAAGGAACCAAGACAACAGGACAAATCAATTCCTCCGCCCAAGGATCCTCCGAGGAAACAGTTGACGGAAGAAGGGGAGACCGAAAAGGAGTCGGAACCAGAGCTTTCTTTGGAGGCTCTGGGGAAGACATCTGAATAGTTTTTCCCTGTCACTACTTCCTTTGAAGTCGTGGGTTAAGGATGCGGCTTAACCCACGACTTCAATTTAACTAAGTCTCTCCTAAAATCCTTCAGGGTAAGTTCTTATCTCTCATTTAACTTGTTTTAATGGTTAAGGTTAGTCAGCTAAACCCGCAACATAGCAGAGCAGCTTCATACAATTTAGCTGCTCAATTAGGTAAGCAAGGCACTTTTGTTGCCTTAATTCGAGAACCTTGGGTGTACAAGGGTAAAATCCTTGGTAGGCTCATGAACGCACACTTCTTTTCGTCAGAGGGACCTAATAAAAGCATCTCCACAAATGTGGTTTTGTCGAATCTCCTCTCTGCCCAGCTTGTGGAGAAGAGGAAACACCTTTTCACTTTCTGGGACGATGTCCGGTGTTTTCTGTCCCTAGAAACAAATTCCTTGGGTTTCCTTATATTAGCTTTGATCAAGCCCTTCTATACAAAGGGCTCTCTGGCACAATAGCGTTTCTGATGTATACTAAAACACCTACAGGTAAGGTGAATTTTAAACCACAAGAAACAAGCATTGAGACGCCCTGTGAGTTCTTTTTTTCTTTGTAAAAGAAACTATGCAGGGATTTCTCTCTCATAGTTGTGTTTTGGAATATAATTTGGAAATAGATGTCAAATCTTTATACACTACCTGGCCATTTGGCTTGAGAAAGCACCTCTGCCCTCCTTATTTAATTAATTATTATTATATTATTCTTTTAGATTCGCCATCGCACACTTGTTTGGTCAAGAGTTTGCGTTTGGTGGTTTGGGAGGGATTGAATCCGCTCTTCATCTAACTGGGAAGTTTTCACGATTTAACCGACACCCTGAATTTAGAGATGGGATCTTTTGCTGATACTATATATTTGGTGTCAGTTTGGGATCTTATCTATTTATTATTTACCTTTACACGGGTGTTACCATTTAAATGATCAAATGGCGGAAGAGCAATGGGCAATATTGCCTAAGCTCTTTTCCATCTTTTCATAAGATTATTTAGAAATGCATTTTTTATTATACTCCATTACAGAATGCCACTATAGCTATTGCTACGCTTCTAGAACAGCAGCTGAGCTGGTACAAAAGGTATTCTGTAAATTCTTATTAGCGGAACCAGGCAGCGAAAATAGTAAGTTCTAAGTATTTAAAACTGCCCTTTTGTAAGCCTTTCCGGAGGTGAAAGATAATTGAAGTGATTTATAATGGTTTTCAGTTTCCTTGATTTTAATTATGGCTGATGGTCACCTACTTCGGGAATACCAACAGCACATTTCTATAAGAATAGAACAGGCTAAGATTACATGGCATTTATTCATTAGAGAGCATATTGTTACAATACTGCAGTCCTTCATGCAGTTCCTTTCAGTTGCACATCTTTTAAAGGATTTAAATTTGTATATTTTCACGTTATTAAAAGTACAGCACTATCTAATGTATACTGGTGAAATTTGAACTAATATGTGCTTTACATCCCCCCCCCCAAATTCACATCTGCAATGCATTCCATGTTGAAGACTTTCAAAGAAGCATATAAAGCTCCATATCTTGTAAATAAAAGCAAAAAACATGAAAATGAAACAAGTTTATTTGACATGCGCGCACGTATGTAAAGAGAAAATAAATCAGCACCATTTTATTGGGAATGCCACAATTTAGAGGATAAATTTGGAAAATTTTTAGATGAACTTATTTAAAAAAGGTTTTCATAGAAATAAACACAAAAGTAAGCAAATGAATTGTTATTAAATCCCCTTTAGGTAGCAATACTATTTCTACTGTATAAAGAAAATTAGTTCCCCCCTTTTGTTTATGAATACTTTACTTTTGTATATGCTAAACGAAAATTAATACGAGTATTAGTTTTGTAGTTAACATACGGCATCAAACTTTTACAGATGACATTATATGACATCCAACAAAACAACTTTGATTGTCTCTCTCTAAATAACCACCACTGATAGTCCTATTAATGTATTAAGATGCTTAATCATTTGTACTCAGAATAACATCACATTTTCATCTTGCTAATAGCCAAAGATGATTCATATATTAGACAAAGATTAGTATTTTTATAAAATATAAACAGTCTGACAATAATAACAAAATCATTTATTACTTATCAATGTCGTAAAATGCTGATATAAAAACATGGGTTCAAAATTTTAAGCACATTAAAAAAAAAAAAAAAAAAAAAAAAGTCTCATAACAAAGTTCAGTACAAAAAGTATGGGTTATTTTTTCCTGTTGAAATTTTAACTTAGAAAACATACATATAAAAATTTTAAGCAACACAAACTTTAAGCTAACGAATTTGCTAAATGAGTGGTCCAATTACTTTAAATAGTCCCATTAAACAATTGCAATGCTGGCAAATTTTAGATACCTAGTTGAGACATGGGTTCCACAAGCAGAAAGTAGAAACCTCATTTTCTTACAGACTAAATAAAATAAGTTTAATGTTTATCATGCTCTCCATCTCCTTTTGCAGAATTTCAAAAATTTATGATTAGTCCATTTTGATGTTATTACATCTACTACTTTTGCCCAATAATCAATATAATTTAGTTGATGGCTTTTCCCAGTTAACCTCAGAATGATATATGTTGTCAAATCCTTTGACTAAAAAAATAATGTAAATCAATTTCTAAAATGACTTCTTACAGTATCTTACCATTATTTTCTGTATCATTAATTTCTTTATTCATTTTTATAAAGATCATTTTCGTGCTTTCACTCCCCCCCTGAAAAAGAAAACCCTCTTCACCAAGATCTTAGTTTTAATCATTAGATTTCCTTCATTTATATTAAAACAGTTAAATCAAAGATGGGTTCAGTATAACAATTTTTTTTAGTGAAATGAGATATGTGCTCATTACTACAAGGTTAATAATGAGGGTTTTAAGCCTTCATGTTTGCATACCATACAATAAACACTTACAGCAGCAGTGCAGTGGAGACTTGGAGGCCACATTAAATACTTAAGAAAACAGAGAGTTATCATACTTTAGCACTCATACAAAAATTTGAAAACAGAGTAAATGTTTATAAAGTAGTATGAGACTGTAGTAAGGTGGCTAAAGATTAATTATTCAAACCACCTGCAGGCAATGCTTTCTAAATGTTATATTCAACAATTACTTTTTAAAGTCATTTACTATTATTAAGATAGATAATTGACAATATTCTGCATCCAATAAAATTATCAAATAACAATGATGTAACAAACTATAGCATTTGCTGTTTGATAAAAAATATGAAAAGAAAATACAAACTAGAAAAAGAAATAAATTTAGAAAAATAATATAACTACAATGCAAACGAATATAAACTTTACAAAACAGATTCACAGAATCTATATTAGAAACATATGAATAATCAGAAGTTATACAATTAATATTTTCACATAAATTGGTGCTGTGTAATGAACTTGTGTGACTATTTATATATATTCCTTGCTATCTTGGGGTTCACTTAATCTTCTGAGCATTACAGACTTGTCCTTAAATTTCAAAGTTCTCCCAAATGTCATCAATAGGTGGTATTTTCTAGATTATAATTGCATTATCTGCAACTTGATTTCTTTTCTTCCAATATATATTCAAAACAAAATCAGATATATCGGGAGCTGACAGAAATTTTTGTGTGTAACGAATTGGAAAGCCATCCTTCTATGCAGAATTTTATGCCCACAACACTTGAAGGGTTAATTTTAATCAGACAATGACCAGTATTAAATATTTAAAAAAAAACTGTGTTGAATCACTAATAAAATATGAACTTGTACAGAAGACTAGTACTCTTAAAAATATTTAAATCCATATTCTGATTTAAGTACTAGAAATTAAAAGGAAAATTATTCTTTATTTCTTTGAGACATCAAGAAGTATCAGGACCTACAGATGCATCTTCAACCTTTTTTTTTTTTTTTTGTTTTTGTCTTTTTAACTTCAATTTATAAATAAAATTCTTACTTTCACGAAATAAAATCTTTGTTGTCAGCATAATCAACCAACAACTTCTCAAATAAGCTCCCCCAATAATAAGATTTTTATACACATATTAAAACATCATTCTTAGTTTAGAAACAAGAGTTTTATGCACATAATTTTCCTCCTTATAATAAAGCAGCAATACAAAACACTTTATAAACGCACAATCACAGAAACATGTGAGCAAGCATTAGAAATTATTTTTCACTAGTTTAATCTAATATTTACACAAGAATCTGAAAACACAGCTTTTGTCAGGTACAGAATATATACTTATTAACATATACAAAAAAGAAATATAACTCAAATTTTCATGCTAAAATTATGCAATAACCTTTAAAATGCAAAACATTTAGACATTACAACACCTATTTCACAGTTTTTTTAAAACTGCAAATTACGTACACAGATAAAAGAAATTAAAGCGCTGTATCAAATTTTATCCACAGACAGTATTTCATGCTTCTGATGCAAGAAATTTTGTTCAGGATTGGATTTGCATATATATCTATTCAGGGTATACATTTGTACAGAATTTATACATGTATACATGTACATTTTAAGGATATAAATCTGCTACTCTATACAATACAAACACCATATGCACAATATATTAATTTTTTGTATTTACATTATCAGTAGCCGCAAATTAAGCTTTGCTTTTTTTTTTATAAAATCATCTCCGTATTATCAAAGAATTAATTAGGTGAGTATTTTACATAAGAACATTAAAAAAAAATTTTTTTTTTCCTCTTTACAGATAAAACTCCCAACACAGAAATATTAATTTTACAATGACAGTTTCAAATCATAAAATTGCATAAAAAGTAGTCATAATTATGAATTAATTTGGAATTCCAAATACAATCTATATACACTAATCTTTTTTACTCTCTGGAATATTACTTACTTGGATTCTAAATAATACTACTTCATTGATTACATTATTAAGACATTCATAGAAGATATTTTAAAATTACTTCTGCTATTTCCATTCAAATTATCGTTGAAACAATTCTGTAAATTTCATATTACGACATAACATGCAGTTTGACTCCCCAGAAAAGATACTATATTATTTTCAAAATCAGGAAGGAAAAGATCAAAACAAACTTACACATTGAATACATATCTACAAACATACAAATACTTCATTAATTCAGTTCTTTTATAAACATTGTACATCAGATGCTGTATCAATAATAGTTCAAAACAATGAGAATTTTTTATAAATATTTTGTTTCTAAAACATGCATTACATTCAGGAATGTGACTTTTATAATAGGGCATGTTTCTAGAAGTACATGATTTTACATGAGTACTTGACGAATAAAAGCAGAATAATTGGAGCTAAAGTATCTTTACACATTGCTCATATATTTGAGATAAAAATTCAGAATTTGCAGTCAGAAAAATGGAAAAAATATATAAACTTTAGTGAGACACATAAGAACTACATAGCTATACAGATGTAAATTTATATCTTATACGACCTTCAGCATATGCACATCACGTGACATTATATATACTATACAATTATTACTCGCCCATAGGGTTTGGAACTCTATAATACCTAAGCAGGATATTTAACAAATTTTGTGGCACTTAGGAAGTGAGTTCCAATGCTTTTCATAACATAGGTTGCTGTTGCAATGATAATGGAGTAGAGCTTGGTGGCATGGAGTTTACAGCCATATCACCATAATATATTCCATTTTGTTCTCTAGATTGATGTGGCGGACCGTAGTTACCACTAGTTATAACAGCTGAACTTTGAGGGATGCTAAAACAAAATACATAATAGATACATATGAATCCCTTGTTTTCATATAAGTGTTCAAGAAATGTATCATAAATGTATAATTACTGCATTTTTATTTGGGTAGTATCATGCAGTGCAGAATTTACAAATTAAATGTTACTGTATTTTTTGAGAATTTGTATAGCATCCCAAGGTTTTGAAACCGTTCTAAAAAAAATGGACCCCAATGACATAAATAACATCATCTTTAGTTGAAGACATGAAAAAGAATCACATCTGCATGCATTTTATCTAAAACTTAATACTTACATTAAATGCACTCTACAAGTGATTTTTCATTAGCATACTTATGGAATAGCATATTAATTTATATAAAAGTTGTTCTATGGTAAAATCTTTCATACAGAATCAAAATGGCACTTAAATATTCATAGCCACTTTTATGTAAACAATTTTTTACATAATTCATTACCAAAGTAAACTTGCTGAATAAGAACTAGCCTTTTTCTCCTTTTGTTTCTATATACTGAACAAAATATTACACACAAAGAAAAAAGATGTGCAACGAATTCTGATGTTAAAATGTTTTTAACACCTTGAGAACAGAATGACTATTTTTAGTATAAAGAATATGTCAAAAAGAAATTAAATTACACTGACTTGTTATCAGCAATTCTAATTATGCACACAGATGAGGCTGAAAAATATTATGAAGGTTAATTAAAAATAACCTCCACAGTTTTTATTTTGAATTAAAATTTTGCTCAATTTATTGTTATGTATGATGTATGAATATTGGTTTATTTCCATTAATCTAGCATATATTTATTCTCTGCTCAATTTCAGTTCTTATCACTTTAAGAAATATGCAGCAGATCCCTGGTATACTTCTGAGCAAGAATGAATTACATTCACATAATATCAATCACTGCATAGCAATGACGTGATGTCGAACTGACATAATAAAAAAGATGCATTCAAAATTTACTGGAGCTCTGAGAATTATGTGACTATTTTGGGAAAAAAAAAGCTTAAATAAAGCTCTGTTAGACACTTTTGTCTTATCAATTTCCTAAATAATGATTATTTATAATGGATAATTTCCATTTTTAGATCTAATTGATATAGTTAAACATACTCCATCTCTTAGTATTATTTAAATTTTGCATGAATGCCTAAGCGTTGCAATGAACACATGATTTTGTATTTTCTCACACTATTATTATCCATTGGATACTGGAAAAATTTAACGAAAATGGATAAGGACCAATCGTTTTATCTCAGCCTCAGTCACAAATGAACCAAATAATATGTATAAAATAAATTATACGGCAGCATACATTACGACTAAAATTTAGTAACCATTAAAAACCTATAAAAATGCACATGGTTGATAATCTTTTATTAACATAAAGTAATTTAAATTCTCCATATTTTCAGATTTCCTTTAGATTTCAATTTATATGAAAAATGACATTAAATGAAATGCATACAATAATTCTTCATATGTCTAAAAAGATATTTACCTAGCAAAAGAATTCTGATTTGATGCACCATAAGGAATATGAGGCATACCTCCTGAATGCAACATCCTTGACTGATGTGTAGTTGGCAAAGCTCCTGCAGATACATCATGTTTTATTCATATATCCAATAAAATTTCCTTAAAATGTACATCAAGATAGAAAGATAGAAAGATAACCTGATGGTGGGGGTACAACAGGATAATGGTCAGTATGAGGTACTGGCAGAGGTTGATAGTTTTCTACAGGGATGTAAGCATTTGGAAGCGAGTGAGATCCACTGTACATCTGAAATTAATATCAGAAAAAATACAATACATCCTTTAATAAAAAGATTACTAAACTGATTTTATTTGTATGAAATAACACTTGTTGAAAGAATACAAAATTTTATTGCAGTGAAAAAGGCAAAATTCACAGAATATGGATGAAGGTAAATCATTAGTATGGTTCATGCAACAATTCTGCAATTGAGATACTACACTAATTGTAAAAAAAGTAATTATTGATCATTATAATAATTATACCTTTATTTTTTAAACAGATATTCCGATTTATAAACCAGTCAAATTCTGGCAGTGGCAGTTTTACATGGGTTCAGGTTAACAATTAAAGTGGAAGTACTTAATTCTTCTATGCAAACTATATTGGTATAGGCAAGTAAAGGAAGGCTACTTTATATAATTGGAGAATGACATTTTTCATATTTAAAGAATTTAGATTTTCACTCACCCAGGACCACCACATAGAACCCTGAAAGTTTATTGAGACTTCAGTGTACTGGTTTTTATTTTATTTATTTTGACCCCCCAAAAAAATCCCAAATAAGGATTAAACTTTCTTAAGTTTAAAGAGCTAGGTTTAACAGTTTTTCAATTCAAATCCAAATTTTTGACTTCGAACATAGAAAGGCAATTAGGATTTAGATTTCAATTAAAATAAATCTGAAATTCATGGGAAAACCCCGATTTATCCGAGAATTTTCTGCTACGATAAAATTAATACCCCACAAATATCACAGGATCCATCGTAGCAGAATATACAAATAAATTCCATTTGTAACTGCTTGGCTCACAAAACATGTAAGGTTTTACAATGTACTCAGGCCATCTGTCCAGAATACACCAACAGAAAATTGCACATCCTCACCACAAAATTCCCTACTCATTTATAGAAAGTAGTTCCTTATGTCGTGTATAAATTTTTTGAAGATTATCCAGCAGAACATGACACATTTTGTGCAACCTATTCCTATTTGTGCCTTCATTATTGCTGAAGGGACAAAACCTTAAGAGTTTGAATCAGTCTCTTGCTATTGTGCCACTAAAAATTGATGCTGCTGACACAGAATCCCTTAACCAGTAATCTTCAAGATAATATTTCTTGGCAAGTCCCACTGAATTAAAAAAAAAGTCCTAAAAATTTCTCCATTTCTACATCAATTTAGTTTCTAATGACATATACTAGTTTTTGGTTTGGCTGTTGACTCATGAATACATTGCTTCGTGTACCTGTTGGTTTCTGATACAATGATTTGCACAATTTCTTTAATGACAAATGAAAAAATTCTATTAGTTGCAAAGAGGCCTAGAGGTTTGCACATTCCAGATGCATTATACCACTGCTGCCCTGAAAAACAATATCATTACTCAGCGTATAATTCGCATCAACATTAAGTCTTTCATGTGATGTTGAAGCTATCTGAGAATCACCAGTTTCACTACTTTTTATTCTACCAACATCAATATTCAAGACTGAAGCACGCTGAAGTGACTTCATATTTGCTTCATCTTCTTCTGCAATTTCATGAACACCATGGATTTCATTTTTGATACTTGAATCGGAAGCAAAGTCACAAAGTTTAGAGCTGCTTTCCCTATCTGAGTTGATGTCATCAACAAGCTCTTTGCCAGATAAACAGATATCTTACTGCCTTTTCAATTGAAAGAAGCTTTCATTTACTTACTTGTCTTTTAAAGACCTTAAGCATGCAAAATGTATGAAAAACATGACAAAGTTGTGTGGATATAAAAATTATGCCAAAGCTCTAAAAATTATACAGTTAGTGGCATGTAGTAGAAATTTTATGAAAACAATAATAATGACTAGGATGCGGCTAAAAAGTTAATAAGTAAGTTACTTGACATGCTGCAACAATATAGAAAAACACTGCATAGACGATGAGTTATCTCAACCCAAGCAATCCCAGAGGAAGAGACATGTTGTCCATCACGGCGAACGTGTAAGTGTTAAACTAAAGAAACCCAATAATGTGAGTGACCATTGCTTAAATGTTCAGCAATATTAATTGCCAACATTACTGACATGCAATGCCTACTGCCAAACATTACTGTGTAATTGCATTAACGAAGTATTAAAACAGTAGATTTTTAACAGTCCGCACAAAGTTATATTTTATTATTTAAAACACACTTTTCTGTTTTCATTTATATTTGTATTTATTAATTTTATCTACATGTAATAATATTACTTTGGTATACTTTGACTACCCTATATAATGTTATATTGTATCTATAATTAATTGCTGCTTAATTAAAATATATTATGTTGTAGTTTTTTTAAGAAAAAGCACCCAACACCCAAATTTTTTGCATTCTCAACAGTATACAGTGAGAGTGCTTGTAATAAATAAATAAAAAAAAGCATAAGAACTGCTGCTTTATTTTATATTTTGATTTAAATTAAATAACAACAACAAACACAAAACCAATGAACAGTTGATTCCCTGAAGAAAAAACTGAACACAGAAGATCAGAATTCTTCCTTATGTTTCAGAAAAATTATGCTATAAGGACACCTATTATGAAAAAGCACTCAAGGGCTACTGTCTCAGAAGGAATGCTTTTGTAGAGGACTTTCTAAGGGAAATTTTCTCAAATTCAAGTTATACAAGAAAGGGGAAACCTCAGGCTGATAATCCCATTCGTATGCCAGAAACCAACTTTTGATGAACTATCAATGTTCAGTGTTTTATCAGCTTTGCAACTATTGAATTTTAGAGCATACCTTTACACGACTTTTTTTCAACTAAACACATACTATATTAAATCAAACAATTGTTGTTACATATTTTTTACTTTTACACTAAATCTTTCTCATAAGAAGTATGCATTTAGCATAGTAATATGCTTTAGTTAGCTATTAAGCATACATGCAGTACTGCAACTGATAATATAGTAGTGAAATACATGGCAGCCCTGACTATAAGTATATCCTTTAATTACTTGATCTATTAAATAAGTCACACACTCACATTTTGATGCTGACAAATAAATAAGCATTTAGATTAAATGTACTACAACATCTAGGTGGAAACACAGGCTCAAATTTCAAAATAAACTCTACTTTGGTTCATTGTATAACATAAAATTTATGAGTAATGTGACAGACGAAAATACATTAGGAGCAGTCAAATAAATAACGAGTCAGAGGCAATTTCACAGTAATTATTAAATAAAACTTAAAAGTATTGTCCATATGCATTTAAGCATTTATCCCATTATGACAACAATCACATAATGACGTGCTCACAGAAATTCTTTTGTTGTTGTTCAAACCGCACTCCTTGACTTCATCATCCGTTTGACGTTGGTGTCCCCCACAGTACTGTTTTCAGTTCACTGAAGATGTGGAAGTCACATGGGGACAGATCTGGACTAGGAGGCGTAGCTCAGGACTTCCCACTTGAACTTCTGCAAACATTCCTTTGTTGCATTGGCTGTGTGTGGTCTAGCATTGTCGTGCAACAGGATGACACTACAAGAGAGTTTATTGGGACGCTTCGATTTGGTTGCATTCCTGAGCTTCAATAAGGTTTCACAATACCACTGTGCATTGCTCCAGGAAATCGACGAGGATCAGTCCCTTACGATTGAAGTAGAAAGAAAGCAGTACCTAACCAGCACTAGTGCGGAGGATCTTGAATTTTTTGGTGGACGGTAATCTGTGTACTTGCACTAAAGCTTTGCTGTTTTGACTTGGGCTGAAACTGGTGGCACCAGCTTTCATCACCAGCAACAATTGCTGAAAGAAATTTGTCCCCATCATCATTATAACACTGCAGTGCTTGCAGAGACATGGCCATGCGACATCCCTCTTGTTCTCATGTCAAATGATGCCGGACCCATTGTGTGCACACTTTACAGGACTTCATGTCCTTGATGAATCTGTGAAACCCAAATGATACAGAAATATCATCTACTGTTAGACGACGGTACCTCTTTATGAGCTCAGCCACTTTCGCAACATGCTCGTGTGTGACATACTTTGGGGCTCCACTCCACGGGTCATCACCGATCGATATGCATCCTTCACGAAACCAGTTGTGCCACTCCTGAACTGTTGCCTGTGACGACATACAGTACTCCCCATAGATCCTTTTTATTTTGTCTATGAATTCCATGCCCTCCTACTTCTGCTATCAAAAACACATAACACCACGTTGCTCTGCTTTGGATGCCTCCATTCTGGGTCGCTTTCAAAAACAAAATGACTGGATGTGGGTGCTGCTTGGTTACTGTCCTTTGCTCGCTCCCAGCCAGACAAGTAACGACATCTCGTGAGAGAAATGCACATGATTTGTTCAACCTGACTCTCCATTTCCAAACCATCTGCACTTTCTACACAGCATATTTTTTTTGCAACATTCGCTGACTTTTATTTATTGACTGTCCCTCATACATTCAGCTGCTTAGTTGTGAATTTCCGTTTTATGGTGCATTTTCCTACAGTGTCTCTAACAGAACACTTGTTTACACTTGTGTGAATTACATGCACTGTGTATGTGGTTCTTTAATCAGCAAGTGAACTGATTCACTTTCATTGACATTTGTGATGTGGTAAACGAAGACAGCCCGTGTTGAGCTGAACTGTGTACAACATCTATTCATATATCAGCAGAAGCTTTCAGATCACATGGTGAAAGTGGAGCAATCAATGTTAACAAAGCAAAAAATAATAATAATAATGACAACATACACAGCAATGAACTAATACATCTCTTAAAAATATTTCGCTCGAGGTTCAGAAATATGGATATTATAACAAGAAATCTACTTATTGAAGCAGATGGCAATCTATTGAATTAAGGTATAAAAATATTAGCATGCAGCCATAATCAATATTAAGAAGTTCAGGTAAACCATGAACCGGCAAAACATTCGGTGATGAGTATTTCTTATTTTTCAGTCCTAACACTGCATGTGCATTTACTTTTAAAGGGTGGAGGGTTGACAAGGCAATATTAAACTACTGCAGCAAATGTGATA